ACTTTTATGGACAGAATTTCTAGGCGCAGCCAAGGTGTTGAGGGGATCCGTTTTGGTGGCCTCAGAATTGCGTCTCTGCTTTTTGCAGATGATGTGGTCTTATTGGCTTCATCAGATCGTGATCTACAGCTTTCACTGGAGAGGTTCACAGCCGAATGCGATGCGGCCGGGATGAAGATCAGTTCCTCCAAATCCGAGGCCATGGTCTTGAGCCGGAAAAGGGTAGAGTGCCCTCTCTGGGTCAGGGAGGAGGTCCTACCCCAAGTGGAGGAGTTCAAGTATCTCGGGGTCTTGTTCACGAATGAGGGAAAAATGGAGCGTGAGATCGATAGGCGGATAGGTGCAGCGTCTGCAGTGAAGCGGGCGCTGTACAGGTCTGTCGTGGTGAAGAGAGAGCTGAGTCAAAAGGCGAAGCTCTCAATTTACCGATCGATCTACGTTCCCACCCTCATCTATGGTCACGAGCTTTGGGTTGTGACCGAAAGAATGAGATCTCGGATACAAGCGGCCGAAATGAGTTTTCTCCGCAGGGTGTCTGGGCTCTCCCTTAGAGACAGGGTGAGAAGCTCGATCATCCGGGAGGGACTCAGAGTAGAGCCGCTGCTTCTCCACATCGAGAGGAGCCAGTTGAGGTGGCTTGGGCATCTGTTTAGGATGCCTTCTGGACGCCTCCCTGGTGAGGTGTTCCGGACACGTCCCACCGGAAGGAGGCCCAGGGGAAGACCCAGGACACGCTGGAGGGACTACGTTTCTCGGCTGGCCTGGGAACGCCTTGGGATTCCCCCGGAAGAGCTGGCCCAAGTGGCTGGGGAGAGGGAAGTCTGGGCCTCCCTACTTAGGCTGCTACCCCCGCGACCCGACCCCGGATAAGCGGAAGAAAATGGATGGATGGATGATGGATATAAAATGAATAAAAAATATTTGATACAGTAAGGAACCTAAAATGATTTTTAAATAAATGGTCTATTGGTTTACATTGTTGTTTAATCTTTTCAGCTTGTCAGTTACATAATTGAAACAAAATGTATAACCATTTCAATAGAAAAATCGTTTCTGAATCGAAAAATCGATTTTTAATTGTATCGTGACACCAAAAATCGGAATCGAATCAGATTGTCAGACACAGAGATGGGCACCCCTAACGAACAGTGATGATTTCTGTACTGTTATTTTAATGTCTCAGTGTCTTATCTAGTATGGATGTTTTGTGTGCCTACTGACTGTGAAACAAATTGCCCCTTGGGGATAATAAAGATTCTTGAACTTAAACTTGAAAAACCAGCCACTAGGGAGCACAAGCCAGTGTATCTCTTGTGCCGGTCCCAAGCCCGGGTAAATGGTGAAGGTTGTGTCAGGAATGGCATCCGATGTAAAACACTTTTGCCAAAACCATAATGCGACTTCATCAAAGCGAAATCATACCAGATCGGTCGAGGCCCGGGTTAACAACGACCGCCACCGGTGCTGTTGACAAACAGGGTGCCGGCGGAAATTGTGCTACTGTTAATTGAAGACCATGAGGAGGGAAACGTGTCAGGAGACAGAGGGAGAAGAGGAAAGTGAAGAATGTAGGACTGAGGGTTGCAACTCTACTTGTGGAGACAATGACAGGCAAAGGTAGAGAGCTGGCTGACATAATGCAGAGAAGGAAGGTAGATGTTTTATGTGTCCAAGAGACCAAGTGGAAGGGCAGCAATGCTCACAGCATTGGAGCAGGGTTCAAACTGTTTTACCATGGTGTGGATATAAAGAGAAGTGGAGTAGGAGTGGTCCTGAAGGAGGAGTTGGCAAAGAATGTAGTAGAGGTGAAGACAATGTCAGCTAGGGTGATGTGCCTGAAGGTAGAAGGTCTGATGCTAAACATCGTTAGTGGTTATGCTCCACAGGTTGGATGTGATGTGGAGGAGAAAGATACATTTTGGAAAGATCTGGATGAAGTGATAGAGAGTATTCCCAGGGAGAAGAGAGAGGTGATCAAAGCAGACCTGAATGGACATGTTGGTGAAGGAAAAAGAGGGGATGAGGAAGTGATGGTAGGTTTGGTGTCAAGGAAAGAAACCAGGAAGGACAGATGGTGGTGGATTTTGCCAAGAGAATGGAAATGGTTATAGTCAATACTTATTTCCAAAAGAGGGAGGAACATAGAGTGACCTTTAAGAGTGGAGGAAGGAGTACGCAGGTCGACTACATTATGTGTAGAAGAGGAAACCTGAGGGAGATTGGAGACTGTAAGGTTGTGGCAGGGGAGAGCGTGGCCAGACAGCACTGGATGGTTGTGTGTAGAATGACTGTTGTGAAGAAGAGAAAAAGAGTAAAAAGAGCTGTTAAAGGCTCTGGGTAGTAAGAACGAGCTTCCAAATGACTGGGCTACTACAGCAACAGTAATTAGAGAAACAGGTAGGAAAGTACTTGGTGTGTCATCTGGACAGAGAATGGATGATAAGGAAACCTGGTGGTGGAAAAGTGAAGTGCAGGATGCCGTTCAAAGAAAGAGGTTAGCCAAGAAGAAATATGACAGTGAGAGGACTGAAGAGAGTAGACAGGAATAAAAGGAGATGCAATGTAGAGCAAAGAGAGAGGTAGCTAAGGCAAAGCAGAGGGCGTACGATGAGTTGTATGGGAGACTGGACACTAAAGAGGGTGAGAATGACTTGTACCGATTGGCAAGACGGGGGATCAGGCTGGAAAGGATGTGCAGCAGGTTAGGCTTATTAAAGATAGGAATGGTAATGTTCTAACAAGTGAGGAGAGTGTGACAGGAAGATGGAAGGAGTACTTTGAGGAGCTAATGAATGAAGAGAATGAAAGAGAAAGAAGAGTAGAGGTCATAGAAACTGTGGACCAGGAAGTGGGAAACATTAGTGAGGGTGAAGTCCGTAAAGCTCTGAAAAGAATGAAGAAGGGGAAGGCAGTAGGACCTGATGACCAGTGGAGGTTTGGAAATGTCTTGGAGAGATGGCAGTGAGGTTTTTGACTCAAATATTCAATGGCATATTTGAGGGTGAGAAAATGCCTCAAGAATGGAGAAGAAGTGTGCTGGTGGCCATTTTTAAGAACAAGGGTGATGCACAGAGTTGTAGTAACTACAGGGGAATTAAGTTGATGAGCCACATGATGAAGATCTGTGAGAGAGTTGTGGAAGTTGGACTTGGATGAGAGGTGACTATCTGTGAGCAGCAGTATGGTTTCATACCAAGAAAGAGCACCACAGATGCTATATTTACTTTGAGAATCCTGATGGAGAAGTACAGTGAGGGTCAGAAAGAACTCCATTGTGTCTTTGTGGATTTAGAAAAAGCATATGACAGAGTGCCAAGAGAGGAGGTGTGGTATTGCATGAGGAAATCTGGAGTGGCAGAAAAGTATGTTAGACTGGTACAGGACATGTATGAGGACAGCAGGACAGTGGTGAGATGTGCTGTAGGAGTGACAGATAGCTTCAAAGTGGAAGTGGGATTGCATCAAGGATCGGCTCTGAGCCCCTTCTTGTTTGCTCTAGTGATGGACTGACTAACAGATGAGGTCAGGCAGGAATCTCTGTGGACTATGATGTTTGCAGATGACATTGTGATCTGTGGTGAGAACAGGAAACAAGTGGAAGAGAACTTGGAGAGGTGGAGGTATGCACTAGAAAGAAGAGGAATGAAAGTCAGCCGTAGTAAGACAGAGTACATGTGTGTGAATGAGAGGAAGGAGGTGGAACAGTGAGGCTACAAGGAGCAGATGTCACAAAGGTGCAGGACTTCAAGTACTTGGGGTCCACTGTCCCAGAAAATGGGTAATGTGGTAAAGAAGTGAAAAAGAGTCCAGGCAGGATGGAGTGGTTGGAGAAAAGTTTCAGGAGTGATTTGTGACAAAAAGGTGTCAGCAAAGGTCAAATGAAAAGTTTACAAGACAGTGGTGAGACCAGCTATATTGTATGGTCTGGAGACAGAGACATGGACAAAAAGACAGGAGACAGGACTGGAAGTGTCAGAAATGAAGATGTTGAAGTTCTCCTTAGGAGTGACAAGGATGGATAAGATTAGGAATGAGATCATCAGAGGTACAGCACAGGTTGAACAACTGGGAGATAAAGTTAGGGAGACCAGACTGAGATGGTTTGGACATGTAAAGAGAAGGGACCGTGGGTATATTGGTAGAAGGATGTTAGAAATGCAGCTGCCAGGAAAAAGACAAAGAGGAAGGCCAAAGAGAAGATATATGGATGCAGTCAGAGAGGACATGAAAGTAGTTGGAGTGAGGACAGAGGACAGAGTGAAGTGAAGGAGGATGACTCGCTGTGGCGACCCCTGAAGAGGCAAAAGCCAAAAGAAGAAGAAAAGAAGAAGAACTTAAACTTGAAAGAAACAGCAATAAGGGCAGCACGGTGGCGCAACTGGTAGAGCTGCTGCCTCTCAGCGAGCAGGTCCTTGGTTCAAACACTGGTCCAGGGGCCTTTCTGGGTGGAGTTTGCATGTTCTCTCCGTGCATGCGTGGGTTTTCTCCGGGTACTCCGGTTTCCTCCCACAGTCCAAAAACATGCATGTTAGGCTGATTGGTAACTCTAAATTGTCCCTAGGTGTGAGTGAGAGAGTGAATGTTTGTTTGTCTCGTTTGTCTCTATGTGGCCCCGTGATGGACTTGCGACCCATCCAGGGTGTAGCCCGCCCCTCGCACAGTGATTGCTGGACATGGGCACCAGCGACCCCCGTGACCCAAAATGGATTAAGCGGGTAAAGATAATGGATGGATGGATGGATGGATGGATGGATGGATGGATGGATGGATGGAAAGAGCAATAAATACTCCAAAACTAAGAAATGTGATAATTATCAGGGGCATTTTGCAAAACAAGATGGATCAGCTGTCAAAGCTTTGAATCATGCGAGTGTGTTACTGTGTGTGCCTTTTCTGGCTGAACATCCTTTGAGTGTCACTTTCTGGTTTGTTAGGTTTTTACTTTTTCTTCCTTCAGAGCTTTAGAAAAAGAAGCAACAAACAAATTTCCATGCACTAACCCATTCCAGCTTTGCCATCTGGGTAGGTGTACACCTGGCCATTGTTCTTGATAATAGGCAGGCTGGCAGGGATAGAGGGCACCACCTCATCTTCACTGTCCTCCGAGCTGGAGCTACTTGTCGACTCCTCACTGCAGCTGTCGTAGCCATCATACATCCCAAACGAGTCTCGCCGCTTCCGCTCTGAACGTTGGGAGCGTTCAGCCTGCACGTGTACAAAAAGCAACAGACAGTAAATGATTGAAACCTGTCTTCAAAAGTTTCACTGTCCTCAGTCATGTAAAGAATAAACAGCCACAGAAGTCTGACATAAATCAGCAAATATCTGCAGATAGCAGCAGAGTTGGTGCTTAGAAATAATTTACTAAATATTAACAAGCACCTTACCACTATTTGAACCTTTAAAATGTTTCAAAGATAGAGATTCAATTTGATGTTTGTTTATGCTGGATTATTAAACCCAGAACAAGTTACACTGCTGAGGAAATAAACCAGGTCTGGTCCAATTACTTTTGGATATTTAAACATTTTCCTATTTCTTTACTCAATATGCAGATGAGGGATTCTGTCTGAAAATCACATTACAAACAGTGCTTTATTTAAGGATCACACCCACCCAGCACAGGCAGATGATACAGGAGTCTGTCATCGTGTTCAAAAAGACTAAAGGACAGTTATTATGCACAAGCTGTCAGATTACTGAACTCTTGATAAATAACACTGAACAAATGATAATAACTAATTAATAATTCAACCTCAATGTGCAATAACCCGTCACACAACCTGTGTGGTATATGTTGATTATGTGTTGTATATTGTGGGTGTATATAAACACACACACACACACACATATACATTTATACAGTGTATCACAAAAGTGAGTACATCCCTCACATTCCTGCAGATATTTGAGTATATGTGTTCATGGGGACAACACTGACTAAATGAAAAGTAGCCTGTGTGCAGCTTATATAGCAGTGTAAAGTTATTCTTCCCTCAAAATAACTCAATATACAGCCATTTATGTCTAAACCACCAGCAACAAAATTGAGTACACCCCTTCGTGAAAGTTCCCGAAGTGTCATTATTTTGTGTGGCCACCATTATTTACCAGAACTGCCTCAACTCTCCTGTAGGGGTGCACCGATTGCAGTTTTCTGGCCGATCACTAGGGCTGAGTACCGAACAGAGGTTCTTTTATGGCACCGACCGAACTGCACCGGTCTGTGTATGTATTGAAACGTCACTCTTCTTTCGGTGTCAAGTTTCGGTATTGGCTGTAACGTGTCACGTGGTTTCAGCCTGCAGGCAGGTAAAACACCAGACATATGACAACAGACTACACCCAGAGCTGTATAGAGCTGCCGTGCCTAATCTATGTATAATGTATGTCTATGGTGCTGGTGACGCCCACAGACAGGGTTCACATGTGCAGCGCATGTTCGACAACACGCGAGCAGAAAGTTGCTCCGTGTTTTTCTGCAAGGAGAGAGGAGGACAGCAGCCGCCTCCCTCCTCCTCTTCTCAGCATTAAAGTCAGCCTGTGAGTGTTAGAGAGCCTGAACGTCCCGATTCATTAGCTCCACGACCGGACTCTTCATCAAAGAACTCCGAGGACGGCTCTGTGTCTGTGTTTCAGCTGGTGAGTTTACGTTTGTTAATGTTACTGCAGCTTAACACGTACATCGCGGTGAATTAAACTATGATCCATGTAATGCTAACTTTTTAAGATAGTAGGCTCTTGATGTGAAAAGCCGGCCCTCCTCGGCTGCGGCTCCCTGCTGCTCTGCCCCTTGGGCTGGGGCCGGCGTGTGGTCGCTGTCAGGTAGATGGTGCATGCAGTCGGCCCAACAGAGATTCTGTCAGGCTATCTGTGTGTGCCTGTTTGTGGCTCAGGTTGGGTTTTTGGTGGTCCCCCCTCCCTTGGATCAAGTTGGGCCCCACGTTTGGTGTGGGGCCCACTCCCCCCGGTCGTGCCCCCCCTTTGGCGGAGGGCCCCCTTGCCGCCGGTGCATTGGTGGCTCTCGGCGTCTGGGCTGGGTGGTGGGGTGTACGTCAGTCCGCCCTGGTTGCTGCCTGGCGGAACCTGGGTGCCCTGGCTCTGTCGGGGCTCTGCTGGGGGGTGGTATGGCCTCGGGGCTTGGGGCTCGGTGTCCATGGCCGGACCTAATTGGGGGGGGCATGGGTTGCCGGCCGGACCTGTGGCTCGTCGCTGCAGCTTCCTGGAGGCTCTGCATTTTGGTTGCTGGGGTCACCCGGTTCTTTCCTCTGCTCCTCTCTGGGGGGGGTGCGGTTCTCCCTGTTGGGAGACTCCTGGGGCTCCGGGCCTGGGGGCCGCTGTGTGTCTGTGGCTCCGGTCCTCCCTGTGTTGCCATTGTGTCCTGGGGGGGCGGGTCTGTGGCCTCCCGCATCCACTATTGGGCATTCTTTTGGAGAAATCTGGTGGTGGCGGGCGTGCTTGCGCAGGTGTTTGGATTCAGGTGCTTTGACAGATGCACGCTAGGTTGGGTAGTGGTGGAAGTTAGATTATTCCTTGTGCCATGTCGAATGTTTCATGGTGATATTGTGGATGGCATTGTGCTGTGCATGTTGTTTTGTCGTGGTGGTCTCTCGTTTTATCTATTTCTCTTTTATTTATTTATTTTTTCTTCTTTCTTCTCTTTCTTTAAATAAAATTTTTTTTTAAAATTGGGCGATGATGATAAGTTCATTGAAACATTTCACAATGTTTCTACACTTAAACGGAGCTAAAAAAAAAGATAGTAGGCCTTATTTACACGGACATGATGGGGGGAAACGTAGGTTTTTTCATATGTTAATTAGAGGAAAAGATTTGCGTTGACACGGTCGGATTTTGGGTTTACATACATCTGGAGGATTCCCCCCCACCCTCCTGAATCCGCTGTATTTACCATGCTAGGTCATTAGACGGCGCTGTGAATTTTGTACCTTCATCTAATGCGCATGTGTGCTGCCTCAGCACGCTCTTTTCCTGTGAGCTAAAAAGCTCAGCTAACAACAACGTAACAAGTTAAAGCTGGATTCTGGCTGGATTTTGGATAAGAGTCGACAAATTTGACGCCAAGCGGGACCGCTTCGTCTAACAGCTCCACACCGGTCGATGAGTGGACCAGAACAGAGTCGAAGATGTCGGACTTTACTCCGTGATAATCAGTAGGTGTTTTACAGCAGGTAAATCAACGTTCTTAATAATGTTAGCTTGTGTTTACTTCGGTTACAAAACAACCAACTGAGTTTTTATTTTTTCCTGAAAGAAGAATCTGTCTCCCACCAGGCGGACCAGTTCTGAACGAGGCTCGGCCCAGGTGCAGTGCAGGAGGACATCGAAGAGAGCTGTTGGATGAACTATTTATTTAAAATTCCCCTCATTTCTTTTATTCAATCCATTCAAGTTCAGTTAACGTGTTTTAATAGTGTTCAGTTTAATTATCTGTGTTTATGTAACATACAGTTTGTGGCGTTGAATAAATAAATAAAAATTAAACCTGATGTCTTCATTTTCAACTTAAGTGTTCACGCTATATGTTTAGCATCATTTTAAATTTGAATTACATAATGTCCAGATAGCTTAATTTAGCCAAGAGCTTAATTATATCTCACACACTAAATGGACTGTACTTATATAGCGCCTTTCTATATGATCAAGATACTCAAAGCGCTTTACACTACAATCTGTGTCCTCATTTACCCATTCATAAAGCACTCTACTAGATCTCTACAAAGCTAATTGAACAAATCATTCTAAAGAGACTAATCAGAGCTTTATCACATTCATACACCAATGAGACACACATCGGAAGCAACGAGGGGTTCAGTGTCTTGCCCAGGGACACTTCGGCATGTGACTGCTGGTGGATTCGAACCCCCAACTCTTGCATTGGAGGACGACTGCTCTAACCACTCAGCCACAGCCGCCTCTGGACTAACACTAACATAAATACTGTTCATTATTCAAAGTTTGTTTTCTCCGTCATCCAGGTATATAACAACAAAAAAGGTTGAATCATGTCATCTGGACTTCGTTTTTTTTTGGTAAAAAGAAACGTTTCGCCCCTCATCCAAGAGGCTTCGTCAGTCTGAGGCCTAGGCATCTGGTATTACCCAGAAGCCACCCTGACTCTTGTGTTTCAATCCTGCCTCTGAAGTCTGGCCTTTTCACTAATGGTTTCAAAAACACAAAGTTTGT